GTACTTCCTGAGGAGGCTGAGGAGGTTTGGGATGTCCCAAAAAATCCTCTGCAACTTCTACAGCTGCATTGTTGAGTCCATCCTCACCAGCTGCATCACAGTGTGGTACAACAGCACCACCATCACGGACCACAAACGCCTGCAGAGAGTGGTCAGGACTGCATCTAAGATCATAGGAACTCCCCTGCACATACAAGTGTTAACTACTGCACTTTACAAGTATTAACTACTGCACACTGTAAGTACTGAAAAGACTTCTGTTGATTCCTGTGTATATTTTGTTTGTTTGATTTCTTTGGCATTCAGTGTGGACAGCAAAGTCAAATTTTCATTGTACAGGGAAACCTGCTTTCCTTACTGTACACATGACAATAAACGCTTTGAATCTTGAATCTTTGACTCTTTGAATCTTGAATCTTCTAATCCACCAATCGTCTGAATGAACAAACTTGCCTCAACGCCTCCCCTGAGGGTGGGCAGTTTACAGCCCCCCCCTCAAATAAAACCAAAACATCTTTTAGCTCATCTCCAAGTGAATGCTGCCCCCCCTCCCCCCCACTCTCACCCATCATTATCACAGCTGAGTGCCAAGATCAATCATGATGATGTCACAGGTGATGTTTACTTGTTGCCCACTGGGGGCATCAAGGTCAGTATCATCATATCATCGTGTCATCATCGTCTCATCATCATCATGTCATCATCATGTCATCGTCATGTCATCATCATGTCATCACCATCGTGTCATCGTCGTGTCATCATCATCATGACATCGTCGTGTCATCATCGTGTCATCGTCGTGTCATCGTCGTGTCATCATCATGTCATCGTCATGTCATCATCATGTCATCGTCGTGTCATCATCATCATGCCATCATCGTGTCATCATCATCATGCCATCATCGTGTCATCATCGTGCCATCTTCATGTCATCATCATCATGTCATCGTCGTGTCCTCATCATGTCATCATCATCATCATGTCATCGTCATGTCATCATCATGTCATCATCGTGTCATCACCATCGTGTCATCGTCGTGTCATCATCATCATGCCATAATCATCATGTCATCATCATCGTGGCATCATCGTGTCATCATCGTGCCATCTTCATGTCATCATCATCATGTCATCGTCATGTCATCATCATGTCATCGTCGTGTCATCATCATCATGCCATCATCGTGTCATCATCATCATGACATCGTCGTGTCATCATCGTGCCATCTTCATGTCATCATCATCATGTCATCATCATCGTGGCATCATCGTGTCATCATCGTGCCATCATCGTGTCATCATCATGTCATCATCGTGTCATCGTTGTGTCATCATCGTGTCATCGTCGTGTCATTATCGTGTCATCATCGTGTCATCGTCGTGTCATCATCATGTCATCGTCGTGTCATCATCATCATGCCATAATCATCATGTCATCATCATGTCATCACCATCGTGTCATCGTCGTGTCATCGTCGTGTCATCGTCGTGTCATCGTCGTGTCATCATCATCATGACATCGTCGTGTCATCATCGTGTCACCGCCGTGTCATCATCATCATGTCATCGTCGTTTCTTCATCATGTCATCGTCGTGTCCTCATCATGTCATCATCATCATCATGTCATCATCCTGTCATCATCGTGTCATCACCATCGTGTCATCGTCGTGTCATCGTCGTGTCATCATCGTGCCATCATCGTGTCATCATCATCATGCCATCATCGTGTCATCATCATCATGCCATCATCGTGTCATCATCATCATGCCATCATCGTGTCATCATCGTGCCATCATCGTGTCATCATCGTGCCATCATCGTGTCATCATCATCATGCCATCATCGTGTCATCATCGTGACATCATCGTGTCATCATCGTGCCATCATCGTGTCATCATCATCATGCCATCATCGTGTCATCATCATCATGCCATCATCGTGTCATCATCATGTCATCATCGTGTCATCGTCGTGTCATCGTCGTGTCATCATCGTGCCATCATCGTGTCATCATCGTGCCATCATCGTGTCATCATCATCATGCCATCATCGTGTCATCATCATGTCATCATCATGTCATCGTCGTTTCTTCATCATGTCATCGTCGTGTCCTCATCATGTCATCATCATCATCATGTCATCGGCCTGTCATCATCATGTCATCGTCATGTCATCATCATGTCATCGTCGTTTCTTCATCATGTCATCGTCGTGTCATCATCGTGCCATCATCGTGTCATCATCATCATGCCATCATCGTGTCATCATCATCATGCCATCATCGTGTCATCATCATCATGCCATCATCGTGTCATCATCATCATGCCATAATCATCATGTCATCATCATGTCATCGTCGTGTCATCATCATCATGCCATCATCGTGTCATCATCATCATGCCATCATCGTGTCATCATCATGTCATCGTCGTGTCTCCATCGTGACATCATCGTGTCATCATCGTGTCATTATCACAGGGTCTCATTAACTCCTTTATCACATCACTGTGGTCTGAAATGCCACAGTAGTGTGTTAGCTGTTAGCTGTTAGCTGCTAGCTTCTAGCTGCTAACACTGAAAACAGAGTCTGATGCATAGACAGTATAACTGTAACCTTTGACCTTGTCAATGTATATCCATCAAATGTGATGCAGAGATAATACTGCATTAATGTATATTGTGTATATGCAGCGTGAACATGTGTTTACTCAACAACATACA